TGCAGTCAGCTGGTAGTCATTAGGCTCCTCTCCAGACTATAAAAGGACTGCTTGTGCACACGCTCCTTTTGCAGAAGTCAATGCCAGAACTAATGTTGGAGAACATTATTGTGAGCTTGGCAGGCTGGATTTCTGCCATGGCCTATATGTGCTGGATTACTGCCCAAGTTTGTCTGTGCTGGGTTGCTGCCAAGGACCTGTCTGTCTGTTAATTAAATGCCGTAATTTATCTCTGGCTCGGAGTGTGCTTTGGTGTGGAACGAGGGGGGTCAGAACAGTTACTTATGTACAAAAATGGAAGCGCAAGCTGGCTAGGGATTTACTGTACTAGTTTACGTTCTATTTTGACTGGTCATGGTAGCCATTTTGCAAATAGCTACGTCTCCCAGCCGCAGCCATTTTGTGAGTGCATCCATTGCATGCTCTTAAATATGCCAGTAGCCCAGCAGGTTATTTGTACCCTTCCTCCCTGGATCAGACCATCTGTCCCAGTGCTACATTCTCAATGGCAGCCAGGCCAGCATTGTTGGAAAGCTCCAAAAAAGCAAGGGATGAGGCTTTTTTGTCGCTGAACCTCTTGGCTACTGCCTCTTGGCTTTTATTATTTGCAGCTGAGTATCCCTGACAGAGCTATAATTCTCTCCAAATTGCTCTCTTGAAAAGCTATCATAAGAGAGTGATTGCCCCCACATCTCCTGGAAGTGAAGCCCCATTGAGTTCAGGAAGTCAATTGCATGACATAGTCAGAAGTACTTAGGATTTTACACTTCCCCCCTCTATTTGTTGGCTGACTCTATATTGTTTACTTATCTTGTCTCTTTCAGAATAACAGGTGTCCTTTTTCATTTCTCTCCTGGGAATGCCCTTAGCCATATTCTAAATATGGGGAGAGCTTACTGGATGAGTGTGACATATTTAACCCTCCACTGGGGCTTGTCTGTTGTAAATTGTCTGTAGCTGATTTGGAAGGGTTTAATGAGATGAAATGTATATATGTTTGTATCACTGATGAAGATAACTCTGCCACTGGGTTACTAATAGACCCCCCCCAAAAGTATCCAATTCTTTAGTTTCCCCAATTTCAAGCCTCTTAAGTACTTTGGATGACAATTCATATACTGTAATTCTTAGTGACTATGGATTTGAAGCCTTGGAACAACTATCATAACTAGAAAAAGAAACATACCGGTAATATGTGATGCTTGGATATCTTTTTACTCATTTTTTTTTTAATTCAGTTCCTGATTTTCTTGCTTTTGTCTCTTCAGGACTCACCGGTCAACAAGCTACTTTATGCCAGGGAAATTCCACACTATAAACAAATGGTGGAGAAGTAAGTGTGAGCAAAATGTAAAATACTATTTAAAAAACACTCTTCAAGAAAACAAGTGGTGTTGTTGATAAATAACTTTAATAAGGAAGTAATTAAAAATTGGTATATATTGAATGTATGACGTACAAGGACAATAATGAACATAGCCATATCCGATAGTTTTATTTATTTATTTTTTATTTGACATTTATAGGCCGCCCTTTTCCCTGAGGGGACTCAGGGCGGCTTACAATTTGTAGGNATGCTGGGAAAGATTGAGGGCAAAAGAAGAAGGGGACAACAGAGAAGGAGGTGGCTGGATGGAGTCACCGAAGCAGTCAACGTGAGCTTCAATGGACTCCAGAGGATGTGAGGAGAGGAGGGCCTGGAGGAACGTTGTCCTTGGGGTTGCGATGGGTCAGACACGACTTCATAACTAACAACAACAACCCTAAAGAAATATGCCAGCGTTGTTTTGCATTACTCACTTTCCTTCCGTCCTTCAACTGTATGAGCAGCCGATCCCCGGCTAAAGAAACCGACTTCACAACAGCGTTGGGCATCACGTTGACCCCCTCTGAAAACAAAAAGGCCAAAGAAACTGCAGTCTTAGGATGTGGAGAAGCAGCGGGCTGACATCACTGACAACTACAACCTCACTACAAGGAGAAATGGGGAGGCTTTATGCTCCCTGGCTAGCAAGCACGCACTCCTGGCAGCAAATTTCAAGAGTGTATCCAGCTCCTCCTAAGAAGACAACCATGAAGACGGTTGGCCTAACTCAACTCTCCATTTATGCAACCAGTCATCAAAAGATATGTTGGCAGCTTACCCAATACATATCTGCGTAGAAAAGAATAGTCAGCCATTCTTTTCCAGGAGCAAAACTTTTTTTGTCAATCTTAGAGAGATGCCGGAGCATTGATAGGCACGGTGTGTTTATGGCATCAATGTGGGCAGAGCCCAACTTTTAGGCTTGCCATTTCAGTGCAGTGGTTATTTCCCTTAGATAACATTAGCTGTCTGTGCCAAGGAAACACAGAAAGTATTTTACACACAGCATTGTGATTCATCCTAGAGTGGAGTGTGCGGTGGCTTAATGGTGGAGCCCTCGCCTCACAATCAGGAGGCTGTGAGTTCGATCCTAGGTAGAGGCAGATATTTCTCTCTCTGTGCACGTTGAGATTATATCTGCCGAACGAAACTCTGCATTGGCAACAGGAAGGGCATCGGGCCAGTAAAAACACTCAGCATTCATTTGCCCATACTCCACTCTGCAAGAGATCATGGGGTCATTAAAAGATGGTGATTGTGGTTCATCCTCGCTGCCTTTGCTATTTTTAACAGCTCTGTTGCAGTTAGAGCTGAAGGATTTCTATGGCCCGCCAATCCTAAGGTCTCCAGATGAAACTAGCCTGGAATCTTGGCTAAGCTTTCCAGAGCTAAACAGCAGAGATGGCCTGTCACTCAGCAGGTAGAGGAGGTGGTGGAGGCCTGTTCTGACCCCCCTCGTTCCACACCAAAGCACACTCCGAGCCAGAGATAAATTACAGCATTTAATTAACAAACAGGTCCTTGGCAGCAACCCAGCACAGACAAGCTTGGGCAACAATAAACACAGATAAGGCTTGGCAGCAATCCAGCCTGCCAAGCTCATACAATGTTCTCTGACATTCGATCCTGTGTTGACTTCTGCAAGAGGGACGTGTGCACAAGTAGCCTTTTTATAG